GCCTCCACACCAGGCCCCCACATCAGGCCTCCACACAGGCCTCCACACCAGGCCCCCACACCAGGCCTCCACACCAGGCCTCCACACAGGCCTCCACACAGGCCTCCACACCAGGCCCCCACACCAGGCCTCCACACAGGCCTCCACACAGGCCTCCACACCAGGCCCCCACACCAGGCCTCCACACCTGGCCTCCACACAGGCCTCCACACAGGTCTCCACACAGGCCTCCACACCAGGCCTCCACACCAGGCCTGCACACCAGGCCTCCACACAGGCCTCCACACAGGCCTCCACACAGGCCTCCACACCAGGCCTCCACACAGGCCTCCACACAGGCCTCCACACAGGCCTCCACACAGGCCTCCACACCAGGCCTCCACACAGGCCTCCACACAGGCCTCCACACCAGGCCTCCACACAGGCCTCCATACCAGCCCTCCACACAGCCCTCCACACAGGCCTCCACACCAGGCCTCCACACCAGGCCTCCACCCAGGCCTCCACACAGGCCTCCACACCAGGCCTCCACACAGGCCTCCACACAGGCCTCCACACAGGCCTCCACACCAGGCCTCCACACAGGCCTCCACACCAGGCCTCCACACAGGCCTCCACACCAGGCCTCCACACCTGGCCTCCACACAGGCCTCCACACAGGCCTCCACACCAGGCCTGCACACCAGGCCTCCACACAGGCCTCCACGCAGGCCTCCACACCAGGCCTCCACACAGGCCTCCACACATGCCTTCACACAGGCCTCCACACCAGGCCTCCACACAGGCCTCCACACCAGGCCTCCACACAGGCCTCCACACCTGGCCTGCACACAGGCCTCCACACAGGCCTCCACACCAGGCCTGCGCTACACATTATTGTACAGCTTGACGGCGTTGTTTCCAGATGAGGAAGCGCTGAGTAATACTGATGAGTCCGGCATGAAGACAGTGTTGTTCTAGGAAAGAACGCTGTGCTTAACACTGAGTCAAGCACAGTGTTATTCTGTTCCCATAGCTTCCTCACCAGGAACAACACTGTCCCAGGAAGCTATGAGAACTGAGTGAGTATATCATCACTAACTTAACAAACTGACAGGCACACAAACAGGATATATGTCTACTTAGTTTTATATGTTAGAGCCACAGAGATTGTACAGGAAAGAGATGGTTGGGTTCATTGTGTCTTATTTGGATCTAAAAAAGTCTATTGACAGATTGTCACACAAGCGGTTGTTTTGGAAACTGGAACGTGCTGGAGGGGGTGACAAGGAGACTTCTGACATGGTTGAAAATTTTTCTGACAGATGAGGGCGGTAATCAGAGACAATGTATCTGACTGGAGGAGTGTTACTAGCGGAGTACCACAGGGTTCACTTCTTGCACCAGTAATGTCCATCGTCTACATAAACCATCTACCCAGAAGGAACACAGAATTATATGACTATGTTTGCGGAGGATGCTCAGATTCTGGGAAAAATAGGAGTCGCAGACGATTGTAATGCCCTTTACATTGATCTAGATAAAATAAATGCGTCAAGTGGCAAATGGAATTCTGTGTGAATAAAAGTCATGTAATGAAATGTGGAATCGGAAAAAAATAGATCACACTCAACTCATAAATTATATGGATAGGAAGTAAGGAACTGTAATAAGGAATGAGTCCTTGGAGTGGTTTTGGAGAGTAAGCTGTTGCCAGAGGAACACATAAAGAACATTGTGAGAGGAGCGTATGCGTCGCTTTCCAACTTCAGACTTGCTTTTAACTATAAGGATGGTGAAATGCTAAAGAAACTGTTCATGACGTTCGTGAGATCAAAATTGGAATATGCAGCAGTTGTGTGGTGCCCATATCTCAAGAAGCCCATCAATAAACTGGAAAAGGTATATTACCAAATGTCTTCCAGAACTGAAAAACAAGAGTTACAAGGAGAGGCTAGAGGTGTTAAATTTGCCAAAGTTAGAAAATGAGAGAAAAGAGGTGATATGATCACCACTTACATAATAATAACAGGAATAGACCAAATTGACAAAGAGGAGTCCCTGAAACCAGCAACGTAAAGAGCAAGAGGACACAAATTCAAGCTAAGGAAACAAAGGTGCTGAAAAATATTAGAAAATTTTCTTTTGCAAGCAGATTGTAGACGGATGGAACAAATTTAGTGACAAGATGGTGGAGGCGAAAGCCGTCAGTAGTTTCATAGTGTTATACGACAAAGAGCGATGGAAAGACGGGACTCCACGAACGTAGCTCTCGTCCTGTAACTACACTTAGGTAATTACACTCTCACACACACACACACACACAGAGTTAAGGGAGGCATGATGACTACCTATTAAATTCTCAGAGGAATTGACAGGGTAGATAAAGATAAACTGTTTGACATGGGTGGTACACGAACAAGGGGACACAGGTGGAAACTGAGTACCCACATGAGCCACAGGGACGTTAGAAAGAACTTTTTCACTGTCAGAATAGTTAATGAATGGAATGCATTAGAAAATGATATGGTGGAGGCTGACTCCATACACCGTTTCAGATGTTGATTTAATAGAGCTCGAGAAGCTCAGGTACCTGTACACCAGTAAATTGACGGTTGAAAGGCGGGACCAAAGAGCCAAAGTTCAGGCCTCGCAAACACAACTAGATGAGTACACACACACACACACACACACACGTACTCATGAACATACACGGTACCACACACACACACACACACACACACACACACACACACACACACACACACACACACACACACACACACACACACACACACACACACACACACACATACCACATACTTCACCATACCACTTCAGGAACAGGTTGTGGAAGCAAATACTATTCATAATTTTAAAACCAGGTATGATAGGGAAATGGGACAGGAGTCATTGCTGTAAACAACCGATGCTCGAAAGGCGGGATCCAAGAGTCAATGCTCGATCCTGCAGACACAACTAGGTGAGTACAACTAGGTGAGTACACACACACACACACACACACACACACACACACACACACACACACACACACACACACACATAGTTGTACACCACGTATGTCAAACCAATCCTGGAGTATGCAGTTCCAGTATAGAGTCCATATATCGTCAAGCATAAAAATGAGGGTTGATGGAAGACAGAAGAGTTAGGGGGGACATAATCACCACATACAAGATTCTCAAAGTAATTGAAAGGATAGACAAAGACAGTTTATTTAACTCAAGGGGCACATGCACTAGGGGACACAGGTGGAAATTGAGTGCCCAAATGAGCCATAGAGACATTAGAAAGAATATTTTTAGTGTCAGAGTAGTAGACAAATTGAATGCATTAGGCAGGGATGTGGTGGAGGCTGATTCCATAAGCAGTTTCAAATGTAGATATGATAAAGCCCAGTAGGCTCAGGAACCTGTACATTAGTTGATTGGCAGTTGAGAGGCGGGACCAAAGAGCCAGAGCTCAACCCCTCAAGCACAACTAGGTGAGTACAGACGTACACATACGTACACGGTAACACTCACACACACACACATACTTACACAGGCTAACTCACATAAACAAACTAACATAAATACATGCAGTGCAACTAACACACGTACATACACAGGCTAACACACGCACACACAGACTGACATACATACATATGTGTGCATGTATATACTTATATGTATGTATGTATATACATACATGCAACTAGGAGAGTAAATAGGCTAATACACGCACAAAAATTGTTCTTTGTGTTGTTAATCATTGTATTTTTTGCCCTTTATCATGCGTTACGAGCTGCGTTATTTTGTGCTCAAAACATTTTCATCACTCATAATGTGAGGTACTCCTTCACCATACTAATACTTCTCTACTGTGAGGCACTTCTTCACCATACTAATACTTCTCTACTGTGAGGCACTCCTTCACCATACTAATACTTCTCTACTGTGAGGCACTCCTTCACCATACTAATACTTCTCTACTGTGAGGCACTCCTTCACCATACTAATACTTCTCTACTGTGAGGCACTCCTTCACCATACTAATACTTCTCTACTGTGAGGCACTCCTTCACCATACTAATACTTCTCTACTGTGAGGCACTCCATCACCATACTAATACTTCTCTACTGTGAGGCACTCCATCACCATACTAATACTTCTCTACTGTGAGGCACTCCATCACCATACTAATACTTCTCTACTGTGAGGCACTCCATCACCATACTAATACTTCTCTACTGTGAGGCACTCCATCACCATACTAATACTTCTCTACTGTGAGGCACTCCTTCACGATACTAATACTTCTCTACTGTGAGGCACTACTTCACCATACTAATACTCAAGTTACTTAAGTTACTTAATGTATTTTACTAGATTAAGTGTTCTTAATGTTAAGAGGGATAGTTGTCCATCCTTCTGGTGATAATGGATTAGCCTTTATCTCAGACTAGTCTTTATTTAGGAAGCTTTCATTACCAAAAGTCAGCAAAGACTTTAGAAAATTCAAACTTGTCAAGATTCTCATCTCTTGTATAATAAATCTGTGCAGTTATTTACACCTTTGGCATTTTCAAAAGCAAATTTTCTCCTGGTTTAAATATTTCATCTTAGAATTTTTCGAGTGCAATCTGTTCTCAGGTCAAATTCTATTTCAAAGAACAAAATTCTACGTAATATGATCGGCGGAGATGTACGACTTAGGAAATTTAGCCACATATGTTATTAGGTTAGACTTGTAGCATCTGCAAAGACGTATAGGTCTGTTGATTGATATATCCTTTGTTAACATCCTTTGATAACATGATAACATCCTTTGATGATGGATGATAACAGCCTTTGTTAAGTCTGGAGGAATTGCCAGACCTTAGTTTGTTAAGTTAGATATGTTTGAAGGAAATATGCATAATCTGCAGGTGTCAGAATTTGACCACCCTACGTCTTGTATACATTTATGTATCATCTACACACTATAGTTAACGTAGCGTGTTCGAACCCCTGTACAGCTGTGATGGATCCGGACACCCCCTCAGAGAACTTGACCATCAGCGTAGCCACTCCGAGCTCGGGGTTCGTGGCCCTCTCATCCAACCTCACCCACCCTGTGTCCGCCTTCACCCAGGCTGACGTCAACGAGGACCGAGTTTTTTTCATCCATACAGGTAAGTGTGGGTGACTGACTGTTGGATGCCTAGTAATGAGTCGCGGGACTGATGAGTTAGGTAACGTGAGGTAATGAGTGAGTGGGGTTAAATAGGGAGAGGCCGAGGTTACAAAGATGTTTTACAGCATACCTTCTCGTTATGGCTTACATTCACGCTACAGCCTCCGTTCTCGGTACAGTCTTCCTTCTCGTTACCATCCACCTTCTCGTTACCTTCTCACATTAAATAATAACCTCTATGGTTCAGTGCTGAACCACTCGCTGCGCTATATATATCGAGTCATATCAATGGAGGACAGAAGAAAAAATATATATGCTGGTTAGGATTGAAAATATATGATGGCCACACCTATGGTGAATTACAATTAAACAACTTAGTGTATGTTGGATTGTCTCAGTACACAAGTGATAATTCAATAATCCAACACCAGACCTACACATCTGAAAATAAAGGAATTAACAACGTTTCGGTCTGTCCTGGACCGTTATCAAGTTGTGTAATTTTATTAAGTATTTTATACAAATATCTATTTCATATTTTTCTGCCACTTTATTATGACGTGTCTGCTAATACAATCCCAAAACTCTTTTCTTGTCTGTTGTATTTTGGGTGTTTATTCGTATTTTTGCCATTTGTGTGGTAATCCTTGGAAAGAATATTGGCTTGGGTGACAATCCATGGCAATAATAATAATAATAATAATAATAATAATAATAATAATAATAATAATAATAATAATAATTGCGTCAGAATACTCAAATACACAAATATTTGTGCCTGTAACATGATTTGAAAACCACTCTTCATATTGGCTGGAATTTTACAATGCTTTTGTTTGGTCGCAAAATTGAGCTTCCGTTTTCAGAATCTGGTCACTTGTTGCTCTATATGGTCATAGAATTAAGCTTTCTATTAAAAACAGGACTTGTTTAGAACCAGTTGGGTCGTGTACTCCCCATGGGTGTCTTTGTTTACAACCAGTTGGGTCGTGTACCCTCCATGGGTGGCTTTGTTTGCAACCAGTTGGGTCGTGTACCCTCCATGGGTGGCTTTGTTTACAACCAGTTGGGTCGTGTACTCCCCATGGGTGTCTTTGTTTACAACCAGTTGGGTCGTGTACTCCCCATGGGTGTCTTTGTTTACAACCAGTTGGGTCGTGTACCCTCCATGGGTGGCTTTGTTTGCAACCAGTCGGGTCGTGTACCCTTCATGGGTGTCTTTGTTTACAATTAGTTGGGTCGTGTACTCCCCATGGGTGGCTTTGTTTACAACCAGTTGGGTCGTGTACCACCCCCTCTCCCCATGGGTTACCTTACCTTGAGGTTACCTTGAGGTGCTTCCGGGGCTTAGTGTCCCCGCGGCCCGGTCGTCGACCAGGCCTCCTGGTTGCTGGACTGATCAACCAGGCTGTTGGACGCGGCTGCTCGCAGCCTGACGTATGAGTCACAGCCTGGTTGATCAGGTATCCTTTGGAGGTGCTTATCCAGTTCTCTCTTGAACACTGTGAGGGGTCGGCCAGTTATGCCCCTTATGTGTAGTGGAAGCATGTTGAACAGTCTCGGGCCTCTGATGTTGATAGAGTTCTCTCTCAGAGTACCTGTTGTACCTCTGCTTTTCAACGGGGGTATTCTGCACATCCTGCCATGTCTTCTGGTCTCATGTGGTGTTATTTCTGTGTGCAGGTTTGGGACCAGCCCCTCAATTATTTTCCACGTGTAAATTATTATGTATCTCTCCCGCCTGCGCTCAAGGGAGTACAGATTTAGGCTCTTTAGTCGGTCCCAGTAATTTAGATGTTTTACTGAGTGGATTCTAGCAGTAAAGGATCTCTGCACGCTCTCCAGGTCAGCAATTTCTCCAGCTTTGAAAGGGGCTGTCATTGTGCAGCAGTACTCCACTCTAGAAAGCACAAGCGTTTCGAAAAGTATCATCATCGGTATAGCATCTCTAGTGTGAAAGGTTCTTGTTATCCAACCTGTCATTTTTCTTGCAGTTGTGACGGCTACTTTATTGTGTTCTTTAAAGGTAAGGTCTTCCGATATGAGTACACCCAGATCCTTTACATTGCCTTTTCGTTCTATGTTATGATTTGCCTGAGTTTTGTACGTGGTTTCTGTTTTTATATTTTCAATTTTTCCATAGCGCATGAGCTGGAACTTATCGTCGTTAAACACCATATTATTTTCTGTAGCCCATAGAAAGACCTGATCTACATCTGATTGGAGGTTTGCCGTGTCCTCTATGTTGCCAACTCTCATGAAAATCCTAGTGTCATCTGCAAAGGATGATACAGTGCTATAGGTTGTGTTCTGGTCTATGTCCGATATGAGGATGAGAAAAAGTACTGGAGCAAGCACAGTACCCTGGGGGACTGAGCTCTTCACGGTTGATGGGCTGGATTTTATTTTGTTGACTATTACACATTGGGTTCTGTTAGTCAGGAAATTGTAGATCCATCTGCCTATTTTCCCAGTAATTCCTCTTGAACGCATTTTATGTGCAATAACACCATGGTCACATTTATCAAAGTCTTTTGCGAAATCTGTGTAAATTACATCAGCATTTTGTTTGTCTTCCATAGCATCTAATGCCATATCATAGTGGTCCAGCAACTGCGACAGGCAAGAGCGCCCTGTTCTGAAACCTGGGTGGCTTTGTTTAGAACCAAGTGAGATTATGGTGTAGGGGTGTATAAGCATGCGAGGGCGGTGGTGCGGGAACTACCAAACACAACTCTGCCAAACTGCCCAGAACAGGCTCTCATATCGGGGACAATCTCTAGAGTTGAAGTTTAAATGACTTGAAACTTGATCACAATTTCAGATATTTTTTAAACTGCTCATTGGAGTAAAATGAATGGAATATGATTTTGTTTAGATTTATATAATCAAGTGAAGCTATGTGCACCAGTTTTTAACATTCATGTGAAGCACTGGCTAATCCAATATCTTTAGCTTCGTCTAATGATGCTAGTTGACTCATGATTCCTTTGTTGGTTTCTATATATATATTTTTCAGTCTCTGGTTCCGGCTGCTTCCTATCTGGAAGCTGCTCAGGCGCGGTCCTGAACACTGAGGACACTAGCATTCAGCTCCTTGCAAATTTCCTGGTCATTTCGTGCATGTTCTGCATACTTCACTGTCATTTTCCTTTGTATATAACTGTAATATCTTCGGTTGCTTCTTTGTTTTTGTATTCAATATTATTTTCATGTATTGTTATGGTTATGTATTTGTTCCTTGATTTGTTGCATATATTCATTTCTTTTGTATTTTTTTCTACTCTCTCCGTCTTTCCTTTTAGCTTTCTAGCATTGTCTTTTGAACCATGATTTTGTATATTTTCTCAAACTTTTTCCCTTTATCTTCTCGGTCTCTTTGCATTGTTATTTGACATAATTCAGCCTCTACTGAACTATCTTCCCCCCCCCCCCCAAGTTCTTCCTCCCATTGCATATTTCCTAGATACTTTATTACTAAAAGGAGTTACAGGAAAGTCATTATTTTCTTTTCCTTGACCTCTGACTTATGGTCACTGCTTTTAAATTAATGATATTATAGTCAAAGACCTGGACACAATGGTCGCTGGCTCCTAGTTATACATAATTCGTGATCCAAATTCTCTATATCGTCCCTATTTTGTGTGAAGATCAGGTCCAGTAGAATAAATTTGTTTTTATCCCCTTACATTTAAAATACTGGAGGACCAGGTCCAAAATCTACACAGTAAAATAACAACATACTGGAGTGAACTATAGGGAAGAAAATGCAGAATAGAACCAGTGAAGAGCAGAGGTACCATAGGCACAATCAGAGAACACTGTATAAACATCAGAGGTTCACGGTTGTTCAACATCCTCCCAGCGAGTATAAGAAATATTGCCGGAACAAATGTGGATGTATTCAAGAGGCACTTAGACAAGTTCTTGCAAGAAGTGCCGGACCAATCAGGCTGTGGTGGATATGTGGGCCTGCGAGCCACTACAAGCAACAGCCTGTTGGACCAAGTTATCACAAGTTGAGCCTGGCCTCAGACCGGGCTCGAGGAGTAGAACTCCCGAAACTCTCTCCAGGTACAATCCAGGTACTCTTGTGTTATCTATAAATGCTGTGTTAAGATTTCTCAAGTGATTTATTGGTTCTCTCTCCTTCTGTGTTGTTATTCTGCTTTTTGAAGCTCATCTACATCTTTTGTTGGTGTCTTTGTATTTTGTCTGCGTCTTCTGCTGTTTACTGGGGGGTTGTATATTGTGGCTGCGTCTTCTGCTGTTTACTGGGGGGTTGTATATTGTGTCTGCGTCTTCTGCTGTTTACTGGGGGGGGGGGGTTGTATATTGTGTCTGCGTCTTCTGCTGTTTACTGGGGGGGGGGGTTGTATATTGTGTCTGCGTCTTCTGCTGTTTACTGGGGGTTGTATATTGTGTCTGCGTCTTCTGCTGTTTACTGGGGGGTTGTATATTGTGTCTGCGTCTTCTGCTGTTTACTGGGGGGGGGGTTGTATATTGTGTCTGCGTCTTCTGCTGTTTACTGCGGGGTTGTATATTGTGTCTGCGTCTTCTGCTGTTTACTGGGGGTTGTATATTGTGTCTGCGTCTTCTGCTGTTTACTGGGGGGGGGGGGTTGTATATTGTGTCTGCGTCTTCTGCTGTTTACTGGGGGGTTGTATATTGTGTCTGCGTCTTCTGCTGTTTACTGGGGGTTGTATATTGAAAGTCCACAATATTTTTTCATCTGCTGCCAGAGGCCCAGTAATGTATTCCGTGTATACATCAGTATTCCTATCTTCAGATTCCTGAAGTTTTGTATTTACTCTGTGTTTTCCCAACCTAGTTTTCTCTATCGTATCTTTTGCATACATTTTTCTCTAATACACATACATACCCCCCCCCCCACATACACAGATTAGGAGACACGCGCGCGCACACACCTTCACATACGTGTGTAGGTGTGAACCTTGTATACCACATATGTAAGACCAGTCCTGGAGTATGGGGGCC